GTGCTCATTATACTCCAGACACACAGGCTGTCCTGTGTGCAATTCCTGAATTCCTATGTGCAATTCCTGTGTGCAATGTCCTGAATGCAATTCCTTGATGTGCCAAGGTATTGCTCATGTCAATTGCTGTAAGCTATGTTCTCTCTGCCTGGAATGCCAACTACTACACATTCTCCAAGACTCAGATACATAATCGCTGCCTGAGGGAAGCCCACCTAATGTTCTCTATCCCTACCTAGATTGGGATTCCTCTGTTGCTCTCTTGCAGGTACCTAGTTCTTTTCCTTCTGAACAAACATCAGCTAAGAATTATGCATTTCATTGTAGGATTGGCTAGGTCTGTCGCTTTCCATTGGACTTTAGTCTCCACAGTGCAGGAATAGGTTGTTTTGCTTACTGCTCTCTTCCCAGCACTGAATAGGCACATCAAAGCTGTTCTATAAATATTTTAATGGTGAAAGTATGAATGGGAGAATTAAGATACATATGAGGATCTTACTTCCTAAGTCTTAGAAGAAATTATTCATGTTTATGGTGCTATATGGAAAATTATAAGATCTTAGTCCCAATTTTCATATAAAGTGCATTTTAAAATCTGTTTATGATAGACTATTCTAATAATTGTTAGCATCTAATAGCAACTGTTAATGTATGTGACTATAAAATCTTCTTATAGCCATTATTAAGCATGTGTTTTAGAAGCACTAAAGGCTTTAGTTATTGCAATATAAATTAATAGTTACCTGTAAGTCAATCATGATAATAATTCTCTTAAAAGGTTATGATGAGGAGGTCACAAAGTTAGAGAGAAGTTCAAGTGCATTTAAATGCCAACAGAACAATCCTAATTGTTCTATACTCTTTTCAAATTCTTTTTCTGGAGTGTAATTTCATCTCTCAAACAGAAATCATGGTTCATTTTGAAATCAATTTTTCCCCTTTTCAACAACTGTGATAGTTAAAAAAGTGCCAGAAAGTAATATTCTTAAAAGTATCTCCTATAAAAAGACAAAACACTAGCATAAAGTTGGCTTTTAGATCTGCAAGGGAAGGCACTATGTTATCTTTATGAAGGTACAAATGATTGTTATTGCCATATTTGTTTATATGTGCAAATATCAAATATAAGTGAATTTTATATAAATTAAAGGCCAAGGTACCATTCTTTTAACTGGCTATAATTTTAAATTTAGGCAGTTATTTGAATCCATTACAGTAATAATACAAATGAATTGCTACTACTCCCTATTGAGAAGCCTTGGTTTCCGAAGGTTATGATTAATCTGTACTAGGAATACATTTTATTTTGAGAGTAAGTAAGGTACAGAATCATTTATGCAGCCTTTCCAATAAGGGATATTCTATGAATGTTCACTTCCACGAGTAGGGCTTGCTATGAGAAATATAAAGTGACTTGCTAAAGCCCCAACATTAAAAAAAAATTGTTTCTCCTTGGCACTTTTGCTAAAGAAGTGGCTCCACAAGGCCCATGTGGATACTAAATAGGAATAGGTAAAGAGAAGACTTTAATTGGCTTGTCAGTTGTTCTCCTGAGCTTTACTTGGGTGTGTGAAAAATAACGTGTCTGACTCTGTTCTGAACAGATGGATGCAGAATCCTGGCCACCAACTGTTCACATCCAGACTCAAGTGAGCTTCCTCCAAAGTGGCTGCTTTCCGCAGAGGGGCCCACAGCCTGCCGGAAATGGGCACTCTTAGCAGCAAGCTGGTGACTGCAATTTTACAGGCCTGTTTATGGAATCTGGGCAGAAAATCATTAAGCTACTTTTCCTGTTTCCAATCAACGTAGCCAAAAGTTAAGGTGCCAGCACCATTCCTAATCTCTGGTAGCTAGTCTCTGGATGGAGCTGTATCAGTTGCAATAGGAAATGATGGTTCACCACAACAAGTAGATATTGAAAGCACACCTTTGAAAACATCTTCCCATTAGACAAGTAACCAAACGCCTTCATTTCAGATTGTGCACATTGATTTTCTTTATGTAATTGCTATTGACTTCAGTCTTCTCATATTATTGTACTTACGCTCTTACTTATGAGGGTACTTAGAAACAAGATTGAAATAAGTGATATTGTTCCATTATGCATTTTTCCTCAGAGAATGCAACCTACGGATTATACAAACATATTTTAAAAATAAAGGTCATAACATCTAAGTATTTTTCTCTATTGCTGAATTGTTCTAGGTATATGCAATAGCCACACAATGTATACTTGTTTAGTTACTGAATTGTTCGCCTATCTTTGAACATCTCTTAGCTTCTTGAAGTCTCAATTTCTTTGTCTATTCCCAGTGCTGGCACAGTTCCTGGAATGTAGTAGATGCTCTATAATCACTTGCTGGATTGAATTTATGTAATTATGTTAGTTCCAGGAATAAACAGATAAAGGTGTGTGAGGTCATGTGTGTGTGTGTGTGTGTGTGTTTGTCAACAAAAGGGGCATATCTCTTTTAAAATTTCCAGCAAATTATTTCAATAATATAAATGAGGCAACTGGGTAAGTGTTCTATAGAGACTGCATGCCCTGTTACAATTGGTTATACTGCCCTTTACATTGGCCATTCTGAAACTAGAAATTGAGTGTGCCTTCCTTTCTTCCTGAAGTCCACAGTTGAAATAGAAATTCTTGGTCCCAAGAGCAAAACTATTTGAAAATTCCACAATTTCCGGTTGCTTAAATGTGTCTAGGAAATCTCTAAAGTTGAATAAATGCTTTAGGAAATCCACCTAATATTGGTATATGGACTTCTAGAAGCAGCATGCCAGTTCCTAGGAAACAGAACAGCGCAGAGTCCTCTGTACTTTGGAATTAAGGTGGGAAACCATGTTTTGAAGGCACTAAAGGGAGACAGGTACAGACCAAATGAATTAAGGACACCAGGGAGCTGCAGAAGAACGAAGAATGGCAGGAAAAAGAGAGAGAAGAATGTAAGAGAATATATAAAGAGAATGCAATAGAGAGGTTTTGTTTTGTTTTAATGATTAAACACACTGCTGACCTGTCAGGAGAGACATGGCTGAGTCTCTTTTCATGAAATCCCTAGGTACCTACTGTCCCTTCCTCACAGTGCTTTCAAAAAGAGTGACAAAGAGATAGCAAGAGCAAGAGTGAGCTAATCATGATTTCAAATCCTATATTCCATTTCCAGGGCTGTTATGGTTTGTCTACGTCCAATTCAGCCAAAATTCCCTTTGTGTTGATAGGGTGCTTTTCCCGTTAATCTCTGGTTATAGAATTCCCTTAAAAGCAGAGTGTTTTGAGTCACTAGAGATGTTTCTTTTTCCTCTCTCCAAAACTCTTAGGTGAGGCTCAATTGAGGAGGTGATTCTGAAAGTCTTTTCCCTCTACAGTTTAGGGTTTGCTCAGTCCTTAATGTGTTATCTTTCATTTATTTAGGATACATAAAATTTTATATATGTATATATGCTCACAAAAATTGTTTTTGTTTTCTTTTGTTTCAGAGGAGGGTAGTGGGTTTTAGCAAGGTTCGTTTAAAGAGCGGTGGCAAGACACAGGTTTTATTGGCATACCTTCCCCACTGCTTTTGCAGCAGCCCAACAGAGTCGGTAGTGGAAGCAGTTGCTATGCCCCTACAGAGTCTGGTTGTCATCTTTTGTTTCTTTGTTGGCAGGGCGGTGGGGCGGGATGGGGTGGGAGGTGGGGGGACAGCGGCAGGGATCCAAATGATTCCCGCCTGAAACTGAAGGCAGTGTTGGAAAAGGGACGATGAAAATAAACATGCTCTTGATTCTCCGATTTTTCCCCCGGGAGTGTTCAGCTCAATGTATTTCCTCCCCTCGGTGGTGTGGTGGGCTTACAACGCTCTCTCTTTGCAAATATCAAAAGCCAGAAAGATGGGGACACGGGGTTCCGAGATCTCCCCCTGGCGTCACCCTGTACTACCTCTCTTTTGGATGCCTAGCCCAATCCCCCTGCTCAAGAACGCGGAGACCATCCTGCCCGGAAGCTGTCCACAGGCAGCTGCCGCCACCCAGAGAAGGAAACAGCTGGAAGCTTTGGTGCGCGCGCCCACAGCGCAGAGAGCACCGCTTCCCGGTAATTAGCGCCAGCCAACGCTCCTAACGCGCCTTATTGCAACCCCTAGCGGGCTTCCGACTCGGCAATAGCTTCTCGCTCTCCGCTCTCAGTTCTTGCGGACGGAAATTAAAACACATGCACAAACACACGCGCGCACACACCCTTCTTTCTTCACTCAAGAAAACCATCGCTAAACGTCCTTCGCCCAGAGAAGGTTCGACTCTTGGCGTTATCGTTTCTTTACCTACAGGCTAGCAGTCCCTGGGAACACACGTGGGATCCTCTCCTTGCTCTGCACGCCCCCTACCTGCCTATGGCTGGGGTGACGCTGGGGGCAGGGGACCTGGGAGTCCGCAAGACTTGTTTTCTCCAGTTGGTGCAGCTCCCCTGGCTCGGCACTTGGTATCTCCCACGGTCTCTCTCTCGCGCTCTGGGAAGCCAGGAAGAAGGTTGGTGTGGGCGTCGCCGCCGCCCTTCCCGGAACCAGGCCTTGCTTCAAGCGGGCGCCAATGCTTCCTACTTCAGACTCGTAGCCGGCCCCGCCGTGCAGGTGTGAGGGGCTGGAGAGTCCATCCATGCGAGGCGCCCCAAGTCCTGAGCATGCCCAGTAGGACTCTTACGGCTCCCGAAGCGAGTTTCTGGGAGTGCAGATTCCGCTTCTCCGCTTTTTCGAGGAAGCTGAGGAGGGTGGGAAAGAAGAAATCCAGGGCTTGGGTAGCAAGCAGAGTTCGCCTGGGTACGTGCCCTTTTGCTGGGCTGGGTGAGGGGCAGAGCTGTTTGGTGGGCTGAGGGGCTAAGGCGACCAGGCGGGGCAGAAGCCAGAGTGCTCCTCGTTCCCGGCCCCCTCTGGGGGAGCGCAGTCATAGCTGACCCGATGCGCCGCCAAGAGGCTGCGCGCGGCCGGCCTTGGCGCGCCGGGGTCATATTGTCAGCGGGAGGCAGCCGGCAGTGCTCGCTCACCAACCGACACCCGAGAGCTTGTCGGTCGCTTACGCCCCGAATTCACGGGCTTGGCTTTTCTGGAAGGCGGCAGAGACGGCAGAGACAGGAGAAACCCAAACAATTTCTCCCCCTCATTTTTGTTTTCTTTTCTTTTCGCCAAACTTGTGCTGGCAAGAGACTTCTCATTCTTTCTCAGTCAGTCCTGAGGCGTTCTTTACACATCGAAGCACGGTTCGCGCTGCTGTGTAGGGTGTGTGTGTGTGTGTGTGTGTACACGGGCGTGTTTGTGTATGTCAGAACTAGGGAACACTGTCCCAGATTGATCCTGGGTTTGACAAATACTCCCTGAATCTCCCTCCCTACCGGTAGCTCGGGAGAAAATATTAAAAACTGGTGGTGCGAGTTCCCTGGTCAGCAACCTACCCATTGTAGTACGAAATCTAAATTTTCTTGACCCATGTTCCTCTCCACCCATACCCAGCTTTTTCTTTCTGACCCTCTAACACCCTTATCTTTCTGGTGGCCACTTCCCTGTCTCAGCACCCGCTACCTGCTCCTTCAGCCCTCCTCTTCTTCCTCCTCCGCCTCCTCCCTCCCCCACCCTGTCTCAGCTGCGGCTAAAACCTGGAGTCTTGGGGAAAAGGGAGGAAAAAAAAAAAAAAACAACCTCGGCTGTGGAGCTGTCAAACCGGGCATGCTCAGTAGACAGGGCAGGTTTTTTGGTCTCGAGTAGCGGAGAAACATTTTTTGCACCACCGCGACCAGCCTTAGAGCGCGGCGGCGGCGGCCACGGCAACATCAGCACAGCCATCAGCCGTGCAGACGCCCCGCACCCGGGAGCGCGGCGGGCTCCGGCTCAGTCCGGAGTTCACCTCCGAGTGCCCCGGGGGTTGAGCTCGCCCTTTCTGCTCTCACACACACGCACACACTCTTTCTTTCACAGACACACACGTATCCCCACTCTGGCACAAACAAACGTTCCCGGACGCAAGCACCCTCCTGCCAGCTGTCGTCCGCTGGCGCCGTAATAGACAGGTTCGGTTCTTGCCCCCCGGCGGACACTGGCTGAGAGCACCGCCGCCGCCCGCTGGAGGAGAGCGATGCGGGGGCCCGAGCGGCAGCTCGAACAGTAATGTGGATTTACAGTCGTTTCCCGCAGGAACCGGCCGAGACGCCCGGAGTCCCGGGCACTGGCATCGCCCGGCATTGCTGAGCACCTGGCGAGGGGGCGGGGGACCGCACCTGGGGACACTACCGAAACTTGCGCCTGGACTAGGTAGGTGCGTTTCTCACGCCTCCCACCTCCTTCTCCTTTCTCTCCCGCCCGCCAACCCTCCACCTTCCACCCCAAGTCTCGGGGCGAACTTCGCCCCGAGGCTGCGGGCGGCGGATGTCTGCTCCCTGCTATGTGCGGCTGGTTGCGCCCGCTCTGGGACTCTTGCCCGAGGTGGCAGAACCACTGCAACCCTTTTCTTGCGATCTCCGCCGGCGCTGGAGCTTTGGACCACCCTGGGGAGATAGGAGGTCGGCCTCGTTGGCAGTTCAAGCTTCCAGTGGGCCCTGGGGGCGCTGCCCTTCGAGGGTTTGCTGAGCTTCTCAGGGGGCACTTTTGCCAACCAACTCCTCCAGTTCTGAGAGGGGGCCCCTTTTCTCGGCTCTTGAGCAGACCGGACGCTCTAACAAGTGGACCTGGATGCTGGGGGTGGGGGTGGGGGCTCCTTACTGAAAAGGAGAAGGGAGCACCTCTCCGTCGGCATCCCTTCTACCTACCTGGAGCGTCCGCCCCGGGGGCTCTGGGTTTGGCTCCTGCTTTATAAGACAAAATGCACAGGGACTGGGACGTAGTTGAGTACCTGTTTGCTTCCTTCCGATTTCCTACATGAAGCTCACTCAGAGAGCCCAAGTTGAGGTGGGGGAGGAACTCACCTCCTTACCTAAGTCGTCGAGGCCCACCCTGGATGTGCCCTCCCTACACTCCAATCTTGGTCAAAAGAGAGTCTTTACGAGCAGTCCGTAGTCCAGAAGCCGTCGGTGTTGGCTTTAACCACTCGCCCAACTGCGCCGATTTGTGTGCTTTCGCATTTTATCCCGACACTTGGTTCCCGAGATCCAGCCACGGTCAGCACATCTGCCGTGCGTCAGTCACCCGCTAGGCACGGCTGGAGAAATGTAACCTCACTTTTTTTCTACTCCACGACGGGTAGATTGCCAATTCAGGTTTAGGATGCTTTGCTTAGAGGTGGAGAAGGGGAGACTGTTTAGCGCTACTTGGTGAGTGGATCTGTTTGCAAATAGGGATGTATTTAAACATTTCGGCGGACCAGTGCAGTCGGTTGTTTACAATTGCGGAGACAGACGATCTCACGCCACTAGTAGATATCCTCTCCACGTCTATTTCGCCGCTGGGAGGGTAGGGGCAGGGGCGGGGGCTCCTTTGCAGCTCGTACTCGCCGTCCACGGCTTCGGGTTTAGCACCACTGCTACTGGCAATATGCTAATATGGGTAGAAAACCTCTACATCTTCAGTATGAAACAATTGGTCAGGAGACGCCCTGAACTTTCCCATTTTTTCCTGGAATGCCAATCCGGAAGCACATTCGAGGTGGCCCGAAGAAATACAAAGAGAAGTTCTCAGTACCACAGAAGGAAAATTAATAGCTATTCGGTCTTAGAAACCAAAAGGAAGCGAAACACCCCAGTGGACTGTAATAGGTACTGTTAGATTAACATTTAATTGATCGCGAATGTGGAAAGTAAGGGTCAAAGACAGCTAACTTGAATTTTAGATTGTTGTTCTTTGATAATAATTAACAAGCCAGGTACGTTGCACTGTGAGAATCAATTGCTGCTCTTAGTCTGTTTGACGAAGACATTGCAAATGTCTGCTCCATTATATCCTTTGGCTCACATATCCTGGTCCATTTCTTGGTCCTAAATCTTCTGATCTGGAGCAGAGGTGCTTTGGTACTGCCAGGAAGGAAGGAGTACATCCTAAGAAGGAAAGGCTTCTTTTTTCTTCTTCTTTTTCTTTTTAAATGAAAAAGTGATCCACAGTTTTAACTTCTGCAGCCTGATTACCTAGCGTTTGCTTGCTAGCTTACTCCCGCCCCTTGCTCTTCATATCTGCAATGTGGGGAAAAATGCATTTTCATAAAGCATAGTATGATCCTTCAAATAAATAACTGGAAAAGCTTAATCCCAGCTTTGCCATTTTTATGTCCAAGTTCATAAGACTTTTTTTTGTGATGTGTTAAATAATGTACTATTGCAACGCTGTAAAAAATAGTTGAAAGCTTTTAGGGATGCCAAGTAATGTTGGAAACTTTTAATGGTAATAAAAGGAAGTTGCAAAATATATTTGAAAAGGAGTGCAGGTAATTTCTAAGATGAATCCATGCCCTGAATGTTATTTAAAAGTTTTCAGATTGTTGACCAGAACGTTTTTGGGAAAACAGGTGTTTCTGGAAAACAACTCTATGGAGAAATGTTAGCATTTGCATAATAAAACTAATGACTTCAGTCCTTAGCATAATGCCAGGCCATAGTAGAAAGAGAATAAGTATTTTTGAGTGCATGAAGTAATGTTTACCATTAAGCTAGGTCCCAATTAAGAATTAGTCATGTCATTTAGCAAAATATACAAGGGAGCTGAAGGGAAGAATGCTCCGTAGAATCATTGTGCTGTAAGGGTGATTAAGTGAGATCTCAACTATTCAAACATATAGATGTATTTAAAAAGTAAAATTCTATTATATGCAACCATCATCTCATTCAAAGGCCTACTCCCCAAGCCTGAACACTCTAAAGGTCTCAGTGTTTCAATTCAGCTATCATGTGTGTAAATAATACTGACATGATCGTAGTTTCCCTCATAGTAATTGTACTTCTCTGATGCCTTTAATACAAAGATTCTTGCTGAAGCAGAAAAGTCTAACATTCGATTATTCTGTATGATATATTTTAAATGGTCAAACTGCAAAATATTTTTAGATATGTTGCTTCTGAAAACAGAAGGCTTAGTGGAAATTTATTTCCCACGACAGCCTCTAAAACTTAGACGTGGCAAGGAATTGTAGTTTTAATTAACATAATTTTTTTTTTACATTCTGTGTTAGAGATAGGCGTTTTAGAATTCCTGCAATTTTTGCTTGAAGCTTGGTTTTCCCAAAAGCCCATGGGTTTCACATTTAAGTACAATTATTAAGTTCTTGCTTTAGATTAGGTAATAAATTTCTAGGCTTTCCCAACAAGTTAATTTATTATTATTATTATTGTTATTGTTAGGCATTTATTTATTTATTTGCTTACTTATGAAAGACTTAAGGAGGTAAAATAAGGTTAAGTATTTTGAACACCTAACTCAATGAATGATTTTTTTAGTGAAAACAAATTTTCTTATAGGACTCGTATTTGTTTTCCTCTCGCACAGACATACATGCATAGAGACACATGTAACACTCACCTGGAAGTAATCTCATGTGAATGTCATGCATCTGATATAAAACATGTAGCATCATTTTATTAAAAATATGTTTCTTAAATTGCTGAGGATTTTAACCTCAAAAACAATCACTTGTGCCTACTTTTAAAATATTCCCCATAACTTTCCACTTGGAAGGAAGGTTTGAACAAGATGACTAGCAAAACTACAGGCAGATGAAAAATATTGTAAGATACAGAATTTGGCTGTTCTGATTAACAGCATATATCCATATCTGTAAATGTATCTACTGATTATAAAAATTAAAAACACAAATTTAAGAGTTGTTCAAATATACAGTAACAGCTTTAAATCATCCTCAAATTCTGAGTACTAGATTAGATAACTACTTTTGAATGAAGATTACTATTTTCTTTTCAGTAAAAGTGACAATGTAATTTTTTACCCAATTTAATAATTATATATAATTAGTAGGATAACATTAGTATATCAATCCTGACTTGATCTATTATTTCTATTATTTTATGTTTTCCAATGATTTTTTTAAAGAACAGCATAAAGTAAATATGAAACAGAACCAGCTAGAACCATGCTTAATTTGAGCAGAAAATGCTATAAAAACCTTCACAAATCTTTTGATTGTTCTTAACAACCTGGATGGTCCAACCCTAGGTGTATCTTCAGTATTTTGTGTTCTGTTATGACAATTTATATAATGTATAGAGATTTTGTAGTTTGCTAGATGCACTGTGGCACAACTTACCAAGACTAACAAAATTGCTCACATTTGGAACCCATGAAACCTGGGCTGAGGAAATTGGAATAAGATAACGTAAACTGAAAATTATTATAAAGCAATATTTATGTCAATTGCAGTGGTAACATTTCTGTGTATAATTTAAGTGAACTAGTTTTAATTGGAGACAGTAAATAATTTTACAGTTGATGTCAACCCCTAATATTTTAAAACTAGTGATATATATAGAGATAGTATAATAAATGAAACCCGTTAAATTCTTATATAACTTCAGGACTCATTTCTAGACTTGAAAGTATAATCTTGGATAATTGACAACTTAAAAAATTATTCCAAATTGTACTTCCTGTCCAAGCCTCTACTTTAGGTAAACAATAGCATATGGTGAAACATGTATTATGTGCCAACTAACCACTACCTCTTGGATGATGTTTTTAATGTGATGTAATGATTCTGAAATACTGGGTTTGCCCTACACTAACTGTAAGAGTGGATACGTTAATTGGAAAATGGACGCATGACAATGTGTTAGAAATCTCTTTTCATACCAGGGGATCATTTCCTGTGAAGCTCTAACTTGGAGTCTTTATATCTGTGATTATTGTAGGATTGTGCCAAAATTAACTTTGTTTTTCTTGATACTTATGTCTGTATCTAAGTGACACCCAAATAAGTATGTGCAAAGTTCTGTCAACCATCCTACTGCTTCGACATTTGATTGATTGAGAGAATGTGTTACTTCATTTCTGAGTATTTGGAAGTCATTTAAAGGATGATGACTCTTAATATTTATGTCAAAATAGGAAAAAAGTAGAAATAGAAAATAGAAAGAAAAATGAAATGAAACAGTTTCAAATGCATGTATAATATCTTAAACACTCTTGGTTTAATCTATAATGAATTAAATGCAACCCTGAATCTACAGCCTTCTATGAAATGTGTGATACTGCTTACATTATCCACCAGTTACAAAAACAGAAACACTCTGGTCTTTCAACAAGCCAAAAAATTAAAAACTTTAACTTCAATTCTACACTTCCACTTGCCTATACTAATTCATTGGTTTAAAGAAATCACCTTAA